GCGCATTGAGGCTTTAGCATAATGCGCTATATAAGCCAAAATTATTATTATTATTATTATTATTAATATTATTTTGCGATATTGAATTTTGTTAGTAGCAAGAAATAGAAAAAAGGAAACTGCACACTTGTGTAAGACTGAATCAAAAGGATAAAGGAGTCCCATTCAACAAATGTAAAGCCAATCCTTTATTCAAGACAATGCATACTAGACTGAACATTTTTTTTTTTCTAGACCACTGTCATTTTAGTGGCACCCATTTTTCATGATCTGGTTAATTTCAGTGTTCAGGTCACCCCTACTATACTTCCCCAATTTGAACTCCCTCAATTTGAACTCCCTCAATTTGAACTCCCTCAATTTGAACTCCCTCAATTCCCATTGTTAATTTTCGACCTCTCATCTCACACACCTGTGTCACCAGGTAGAGCATCCTGAACCAGTTGCACCTTGCGGAATCCCACGGTCACATTCTTGGTAGATACCTCACCAAACATGGATGTAAACTTCACAGAAACCATATACAAATGCTGGTTACCATAACCTATTGGCCACCAGGTTTCTGCCTAAGGGAAATACAACTAAAATTAATTATGTTGTTTCAACAAATAGATACAGTATGTAAAACCAAAATATATTGCACCTTCATCAGGGGCGGATTCAGAATTTTTCAAATGTGGGTGGGTGGGGGGCACAATTCAGTTTCAGAATAGGTAAGTAAGTAGCACATAACATTGATTTGCATTGAAATATTTAAAATTTAGTGGGAAAACTGGGGCGGGGCAGGGAGAGGGGGAGTGGCATGTACCCCTAATTGATCCGCCCCTGTTAATCTTCCTTAACTTATAAACTAAGCAAAATAGTAATCAGTGAAACAAGCCTTCTTCAAGATGTTACATCTGTAGCAATCTATCAATGGTCAATATCACATTTAAAGCTATCTAATATTATAAGCTAATAAACTCAAATGAATTGCTTAACGTATACCTAAAATTAAATACAATAGTGTGTTCCTATACTGTAAAACCTCAAATAGAAGCCTGGGCTTCTTTTTTAGGACCTTTGGGATAGGCTCCTTTTTGAGATGGGCTTCTTTTCGAAATTACTCTTGCAAACTAAAGAGGGGGCTTCTTTTCAAACTGAATGCTGTAAATATTTGAAATTGACAACATTTTTCAACTATGGAATTCAAAATCTGTTTAATATTTTTTACTTTTAACCATGCTAGTACAATAAAATAATATAGATAATGACACGCTATCATAATCATCCAAGACAACATCAGTTTGAATGTAGGCACTCTCTCGAAAAAAAGCCCATGCTTTGTTGATTAGTTAGAAGCCCATGGGCTTCTTTTCAAAATTACTTTTTCAAACTAAAGAGGGTAATTCTTTTTTTTTTGAGATGGGCTTCTCAAGATTAAGCCCATTGGGCTTCTATTCGAGATTTTACAGTATTCTTTGCATTGACAGTTGTATGGTGATATAATGATTTCTATAGTCTGTAGATCAGTTATGTGAATAACTTTTTTTTTTTAAAGGTTTTTCAGACAGCATATTTTAATAGCACTGAAAATATGCTTTCCATTCCTGCACAACTCAAGTAGGATGCAGGATAGAAGCCTACTAATTTTATTGGCGATTGTCAAACAGATAGTAGATCTAATAATTACCTTTGGGACATCAAAAAGGATGTTATGAGTTGGATATGATTCTGGCTTCAATACCACTGAAGATTCCTTCATGATGCCAAGTTCTGGTATATTGATAACAAAAGTTCCCTTAATAGATTTGGATGTAGATCCTGTTTCTAGGTAAGCTGTTAAGTTTAGAGACCAAGTAATGTTCGGAGAGCCTGTAAAATGAATTGCGGATTGATTTGATGGCACCTTATTTTTTCATTTAAATGACAAACAGAAAGTGAAAGTAATCACTTATGCAGACATGCATACACACATTACATATGTACTGTACATCATATATATACATT